GTCTTCTAGGTAATTAAGTTAAAGAAAAAAATAGATAAACCAGTGTACATGAAAATTAAAATCTTTTGTGCACCAAAGGAAACTATCAACAGAGTGAAAGGGCAATCCACCCCACAGGCTGAAGAAAACTATTTGCAAAAGACGTATCTGATAAAGTACTGTTATCCAAAATATACAAAGACATCTTAAAACTTAACAATAAGAAAATAAACAAACCATTTAAAAAAGTGCGTCAAAGACCTTAACAGGCATTTCATCAAAGAAGCTATACAGATAGCAAATAAATATATGAAAAGATATTCCACATCACAGGTGATGGAGAAATGCAAATCAAACAACGAGCTATCACTATACAACTATTATAATGGACAAAACCCAGAACGCTGACAATACCACATGCTGGTATGATCTTATCAATTGCTACTTGCCTGAATCATGAAGGTCTTACAGTGAGCACTGTGGGGTTCAGTGTGTTTAGTCAGAAAAAAAGGGAGGGAAGATTTTAGAGAGGAGTTTAACATGGAGGAAGGAGAAGAAATATTGGGTAGCCAAAAACAAGTAGGCAAAATTGGACATAAATCTTTGGTTCCCTGAAAAAACATCTGTCTGCTCTCATTCTCTCTCCACCCCCACGCATGCTCCATCTATCTAAACTTACTATGTTCTAATCTTAGAGAGCCAATTTTATTTTATTTTTAAAAAAGATTTTATTTATTTTTTGAGAGAGGGGAAGGGAGGGAGAAAGACAGAGAGAGAAACATTGATGTGCAAGAGATACTCAGTTGGTTGCCTCTTGTATGCCCCTAACTGGGGAACTGGCCCGCAACCAAGGCATATATCCTGACCAGGAATCGAACTGTCAGCCTTTTGGTTCACAGGCCAGCACTAATCCACTGAGCCACACCAGCCAGGGCTATTTTATTTTATTTTTTATCCTCACCCAAAGACTTTTTTTTTTCATTGCTTTTAGAGAGAGGAAGGGAGAGAGAGAGACATCAATGTGAGAGAGAAGCATTGATTGGTTGCCTCTGATACACCCCTAGACTGGGTATTGAATCCACAATGTAGGCATAGGCCCTGACTGGGAATCAAACCCACAACCATTTGGTTACAGGATGACGCTCCAACCAACTGAGCCACACCAGCCAGAGCAGAAAGCCAATTTTTAAAATAAAATGGCTATCTCTGGACTTTCTGAGATAGAATCCTTTTAAAAATCTGGTACTTATCTGAATAGAATAGCTACTTACCTGGCTGGCATTTACAGCTGAGATTTTTACGTGAGAGGTCGGGAGGTGCAGGCCCCTGAGTCATGAGCCACCCTTGCTCTCACTACATATGGCAGCTGAAAGAAGGTGGGAGATGCGGGAAACTGGCAAAAGTAGATCATTGTAGGAGACCCCAGATAGCACGTAGGAAGCTCTGGTTCAGGATTTAAAACAAAGGTGGTCTGAAAGAGAAGCGGTCATGAATTCTGCCATGCTGCTGTAGTGAGGAAGGAGCTACGTCTGCTCCTCTGAGGCTATGGCCATATGGCCTGGGCGGAGAGAGAAGTGCTGGTTGGCCATGGGGTAGTGAGGAGGCAGCAAGCAGCTATATAGTTTGTAGACAGGTTTCAGCCATATGGCCTGGGCTAGTAAGAAACAGGCATGAGGTCTGTAGTGAAGTAGCAATCATGCAGGAGGAGAGGGTGTGAGGAGAGAGCTGATGGAGCCTGAAGAAGATCCAGCAAAGCTGATGGAGCTGAGAATTGCAGGAACCCGCTGAACCAAGCATGGATTCATGGGAGATGCCTGCAATGCTGAACTGTGACCTGGGAATGCTGACTTCCACTTCTCTGAGGGACATACAGAGAGGCCACTCTCTTGGCACTTGTGCCTTCCTAGACTTCACCATGATCCAGTGCAATACAGCACATGTTTTCTTGGACTATTACATGGAGGATAAGGACAATGTACCCTTGATCCTGAAGAGGAGAGCTGCTGCAAGAGGATGGCGACTTTGAAATCAATGACTGTAACTTCCTGAGGGACTAGAGAACTATTTGTGCAGCAGACTTAAGAACAGATAAGAATATGGGGAATTATTGGGCTTGTGTTTTGGCTTGTAGCCTAGTGCGGAGCAAGGGAATTGCTGGTTCTCCTCGGGGAGCAGGACTCTGAGCAGGAGTGCTCCCAGCCACTCCCTGAGGCCGTAATTCTGTAAATAAAAACCTGTTTCCCTCAGCACTAATTGTTGGGTCACGCACCAAGGTGCCACATGCACAGGCCCAGGTTTGCTCGGTTACAACCCTGACAGCAACACCTTTAGCATCTCCTTGGTGTCATTCTCCTGGTACTGACCCAGAGCTCGCTAGGCAAGATTAAATCAAAATACTGAAAAACAATCAAAAGGACCCTATGAGGAGAGGGCTAGAAGTTGTAACCGAGGGAGATGTGTAGAGCCGGAACTGCTGCTCTCCTGGGCCCTTTGCCCAGAGCAGCATTTTCTGGGTAATGTAGTCCCCATGGCCCACGTGCTGGGACTCGGATACCTGGAGGTCCCTGAACACAGGCCCTAGTCCCGGGAGGGACTCGTCCTTAAGCAGATGATTCTGAGTGTGAGCTGAGTGACTGCCAGTGATGCTCAGATGCTTCTAGACAATGAAGATGTGATTTCAGCTGCTCCCAGAGCTTCAGACCCATGTGGTCGGCCACTCCAGCGTCATTCAGCCACACCTGTGTCCCTGAACTTGGAGGCAAGCAAATGTCATCTGACTCTTCCTTTTGCGCTGTAGCCTGTAACATTTCACGGCACTTCATTGGGAGGGGTCAGGATGGGAAAGAACAGACTCCAGGCCGGTCTGACCGGATGCCAGGCTGGGATCTCCTCCGCGCGGTGCCCAAACCCCAAAGCCCAAGAGGCCACAGGGAGTGCAATGGAGTCCTGGCCACATCCTGCCTGGGGGCTCACCCTGGTCCAGGGTTGCTCTGGGCTTGGTCCCCACATGGGCGCCTTGACCAGTGTCCCGGGAAGGCCTCCCCCAGGGCGTGCAGTCGCACGTGGGGTCTGGGCACTGGAAAGCTTTGCTGCAAAGTTCTGAGTCTCAGAGCTGCTCCCACTGTTCCACAGCTGGCCTAATAGTAACAGAACTCTCCAATCTGGGGTACAGTAAAAGGAGAAATTTGATTGAGGTAAACCACTTAGAAAGCAGGGAGAGGAAACCTCTAAAGCAACCACACTGGAAGAAGTGCATATGTACATTTATTTTACGTGACACTGTGACACGTAATAACACACAAAATAATCTTATAATGTTTTAAGTAAATTTACGATTTTGTGTTGGCCCGCATTTATGGCCATCCTGGGCAGCATGCGGCCTGTGGGCTGTGGGTTGGACACCCCTGCAAGGAAACTGAAAGTGCGCTCCATTGACACAGAGAGGGCACTCTTATACAGAAAAAGTTCCTGTCCTGGTTCCCAACTGCCCCATTTTTATACAAGTAAGGAATCCGAATCATACAGTTCTTAGTGGTCCAAGTAGATGGTCCTGATTGGCCTGTATCCTGCTTTCTGATTGGTTGTTATGGAGCTGCTCGGATTGGTCAGTATAGATGTAAATAAGGATATAGCTGAACAGTTCCAGTTAGATAGGGCAGGTTTCTCCCCAAGGCTATACTCTCAGGGCTGAATTATGGACTGGAGCCCTCTCTGAGCCACCATGATCCATGGACAGTAGCTCCGTACCTAAAAAACAACAGGAAACTTGTGTTGACTGGATTTCAGACTTGGGCAGAAAGCAATTTAGAATGTTTTTATTAAAGAGAGAGGAACAGGATAGAGCGAGCTGACTCTGGGGCATTACCCACTGCTCTGCTCTGGAGGGAATCTCTGGAGCCGGACAACAGCAGTGAAATCAGCAGAGACCAAGTCAGCAGAGAAATTCCTGGTGCATCCACCAATGACATTTTGCTAAGCGTGATCGTTGCAGAGGTTGGTACATAATATATTAAATTGGAATAAGTAGTTGGAATTTCAGATAATAAAGGACTAAATAATACTTTTATTTAATTAACTTATTGAATAAAATTTTATTTTATTAAATAAGGCATTGAAAAGCATAATCAATTTTCTAGACAAATAATCAGAACTTGAACATTTATATCCTTATTTACAGCTATTATTCTAGGATATGAAAGTCTTTTGAAATTTTTGATTTAGGTGAAAACAGCTGAAGAAAATAATTTGAAAATAGTTTAGATATATAAAATTGTCCACTAGAAAATGAAAGTTTCCCTTGAAGGCTAATTCTATTCAACACTTTTAAACTATAATAGTAAAGAGTTATGGTATATTAGTAAAAACAACTAAAATTATTTTAGTTAAATATTTGAAAAAATTTTTGAAATAAAAAGCACAGATATTTTACCCACTGGGTTGAATCCCTTTGCTGTCCATAATTTTCTAAAACAAAATTCAGATTTCTCAGCCTGTCCTAAGTAGTTACTCAGAACATCCACCGCCTTCATTTGTGTTGCGCTCCCATCTATCAACGCTCCCAACATTCAGGATTCGTCTTACTCCCATGAGGCTGTACATATCTTCCACATGAGGGTCTTTCCAGGTGACATTCCCTTGTCAGAAAAAGATGAACTCAACAATGCTTAGAAATATATTTAAGTAAAAGGAAAACGGTTTCCAGGAATCTCTACGAGACCCAAAGTGAAAGACTTCCCAGGGGCCTCAAAGTCAGGAATTTCCCTTCATTACAGGATTTTAAGTCTCCTGGCTTTCTCCACTGAAGAACCGAACAGTTAGAATAAGGACTCTTTGTTTCACTGTATACGTGATGTTCATTTTTAGCCCCACATTAGCACTGATGCAGGCAGGCACATTACTGCCCTTATTTGCAACAACATCACACATTCCTTACATTTCAGATGTCCCCAAACATTAACAAACGTTGAAATGAATATCTGAATGACACCGAGAAAGAAGAGCCTGATGGAACTAGAACCAGATTAAGAAGTGGATTTCCCAGCCCAGCAGGCCAAGCAGAGCTGAGAGACCCGGCGGTCACTGATGATGAGAGCAAAGGGAACGACGGCATAAAAAGACGATGACACAGAGACAGAGAAGTTCAGCACCCACTGGCCACGGTTTCTTGTTTGAGTCATCCAAATTGTCAAAATTAAGTAGGTTGAGTAAAATGGAACAAAAATGCTCATCTGGATCAGGATGGTGCATGTGGCTCTGGCCTCATAGGAAGGTCTGGGGGAGCGTCTGCTGCCGCAAATGCAATGGACTCGCTGCTTGTGTCTGTGCAGGACAAGAACCAGGGAGCTACTGGCCCAGATCATGAAGCCCAAACTAAAAATGTGAGGGCAACAATACAGCACTGTAATGAATGACCCTGCAAAATTCTCACTTGTATGCCAAGAACAGAATCCATACGTATTTTTCAGACTAAAGTTCTTCCTGTTCAAGGGACCTTTTATTACCATGAGTACACATGAACGTAACAAGAGTTGCAGGATCCAGCAGAGGGAGCAGCAGAAGGCAATGAAGTTTAGGGATCTAATCTTGAGCTCCATCCACCTCCAAATACTGGGGTTTAGTTTAATGGCCTGGAAGCCATGGTAGAGAAAGATGGTGTTGAAGGAAACTCCTACGGCCACGCTGTGAAAATAGAAGACACATTTACATCCATTATCATCCAGGAAATACCTCCATTCAAAAGATGCCACTGTCTGAGGGATCCCTTTAGTGAAAAGAGCCACACAATTGGCTGTGACCAGTTGCATGAGAATTGGGTCTGTGGGTCTCGAATTATGTCCCGTGAGCAAAGTGAAGGTATAAAGACAAAGGAGGGAGAAACTTCCCAGGAGGCCAATTCCTGTCTGAGTGAGAAACATAATCCCGATGTCCAAGTTGGCAGAGAGCATTGCATCAGAAACTGGAGGGCACGGGTTTTAACTGAAGTCAGAGAAATGAAGAGTTAAAGGAAAATAAACGTGTCACCATTACCATGTCCTTCCATTTTAAAGCTTATCCTCTCCCACATAGTCTCACTTGAAGCGGGCAGTTAGAATTTTGGCTCATGTGTGCAAAGGCAGTTCAATAAAGACCTGGATGTTAAACAGTCTCGGTGTGAATGTCCAGGGTGAACGGAAGAGGCTTAACCACACAACCGGGTCCCCTACAGACATGGAGATGAATGAGGGAGATTCTGTGCTCAGATACAATCCTTCCCCATTATATAGTCTCACATGAAAATGTAAGATACAAAACAGGTGTAAGAGTATTTTTTAAAAATATAAATATATAAATATAGGGGCAGAGATTGATCAGGATGAAAGGCTAGAAATAAAGACGAGGCTTTATGAAGTGGTCTGAGTTACATTTCTGACATTTATATAAATATAAATATACCACATAACTTGAAAAACAGTAATAGAAGTCAGATATTAGAATCCATAAAATTCAAGTTAAATGAAAAAATTACCCTGATTGCCTACCAGCATGGTATTCTATGTGTTACTTGTAAGAAAAAGGTTAAGTTACTACAAAACAAAGGCATAGATGAAGGCAGAAATTCCTAAAAAGAAACAATAAAATGTTCATATCTATATTGTGCATTAATAATTTGACACATATAAAAATCTATTAATAGCCCTGGCTGGTGTGGCTGAGGGGACTGAGCGCCTGTCTGCAAACCAAAGGGTCACCAGTTTGATTCCCAGTCCTGTCACAGGCCTTGGTTGTGGGCCAGGTCCCCAGTAGGGGGAGTGCAAGAGGTAACCACAGTGATGCTTCTCTTCCTCTCCTGCTCCCTCGCTTCCACTCCATCTAAAAATAAATGGATAAAATCTTTTAAAAACTCTATTAATATAATTTGCAAAGAAGACTTTTAGAATATTGCTGTGTATAATGCGTACCCATGCTTTGCCCCGAATTTTTCAGGAAAAATTCTCTCATTGAATTTTTTAATTCAATTATTTATTTATTTATATTTAGATACTTGTTTTTTTTGTAATATAAAGGGATTTGAGCATTTAATTTTGAGCATATTATGGTACAATAAATTATCGTTATTGCTTTCTAGAGTTACACTTTTAACACATAAGCATAAATAAAGAATTAAAACAGTTCTATAAATACGGAATCAGTACTACCCATGAACAATGTGCATCCTTATTTTTCCCTCAAGAACTTGGGCAACAAAGTGTACATTATACATGGCAAAATATGGCATCTATGCATGAAATACAACTTTAAATAAAACTTTTAGTCTACACCCTGTCTGGTGTGGCTAAGTGGATGAGTGCCAGCCTGTGAACTCAAAGGTCACTGGTTTGATTCCCAGTCAGAGCATATACTTGGGTCATGGGCCAGGTCCCTAGGTGGGGCCTGCAAGAGGCAACTGATCCATGTATCTCCCACACATCGATGTTTCTCTCCCTCTCTTTCCACCTCCCTTACCCTCTCTCTAAAAATAAATGAACAAAATCTTTTTTTTAAAAAACCCTCTACTCCTATAAATTTGGGAAAAAGTAATGTATGTAGTGTATAATTTTAAGACACATATGCATTTCCTATTTCTTTTTGTTGCTAGAGTCTAGACATCATCATTCATGGTAATGACCATCTAAAGTAATTGTCATACGTAAATGCCATTTCTCACTAAAAAAAAGGGAGCAAAACTCGACAAGTGACACTTTCATGTACGGGGCAAAAAATATCTTCAAATTCCCTAAAAGACCTTGTCAAACATAATAGTGAGCCACAGGTTTTCTGAAATAAGCTTTTTATTTTTGTCCCTGACATGGGAGACGGAATGAGCCTTCCTTTTCTCTAAGTAAATGTTAATATTCTTCTATAAGGAAACATACTATCACAAACTTCATTTAGCCCAACGTACTCTCCGCAAACAAAACAAAAACAAAACAAAAGCAAATGCAGGGACAACACCTGTCACTCAGACACTGGTGTCGCCTCAGCAGCCGGGGCCTGTCTTCTCTGTCTTACTGCTCGTCACTTACCTGGAGCATGGAGCCTGGACACCGGAAACCTGTGGGTCCCTGTGTGCGGTCAGGGACACGGGAGAGACGACTTTAGAGAGCTGTAACAGGAAGGAGAGGTGTCAGGCAGTCTCAACGCAGGTGAATGAAGCTGGCAATATGCCAAGGGTTTCCTAAAATAAAATCTGTCCTGGATATACATGCATGTGTGTGTCTGCATGTGTGTTAGAGTTTTATGTTCCAATTCCAAGACACAGAATCATTTTTCCTCTGTATCACTGAATGTTCACGTGAAGTCCATCTCAGAATCTGATACTTACCTGAACAGAGTCGCTACTTACCTGGCTGGCAGTTGCAGCCGGGGCACCGGGCAGCCAGGCAGCACCTGTGCAGGTGTGGACAGCGGCATCCTACCCTGATACAAAGGTTGGGGCTTCTATGATCTCATCTCCTTGTTTGGGAAGCGATTATCATTTCACCCGTGATTGTTGTGACAGTGTCTGCAAGGGGAGCGCGGAGTGTCCCTGAAAAACATTTGTTAATTGTGGAAATTACCGAAAGCTATTCCACCGAAGAACAAAAATACCCAAGGGAAGTGACAGAAAAGTCTGGGGGAGACCACACATTTGAAACCAACAATAATCCCAATGGAAGTACAGTAAAGGACACTGAAGTCTATTGAGTGAGACAGGCAAACCCAAACTCTGCTGGATTTTTAATCATCTTGGTGGTTTCTTTTCAAAATAAGGTTCTCTTTTAATTCCTGAGACTTTCCGGGAGCTCAAACTGAAGAGGGGAGAGTAACTGAGTAGTTAGGAGCAGCCAGGGTGGCTCAAACAGACAGGAGTGTTACGGTGACATATTTATACAGACCTTCAAGAAAGATTAATTTTCTAGCTTCTGTGGGTCATACACTCTTCTGGGTAGAGAGGATGTATCAGCACACAAAACATGAAAATAATTTTTCCTTCATGGAACTTTTATTCTGGTTCAGAGAAACAGACCATAAGTGATGCTCCCAAGATATTAAGCTACGCATCACGTTATTAGAAGCTGGTGGGTTCTGTGGAAAGAGAGAGAACAGGACACAGGTGTAGTGAAATATGGGAATAGGAATGGGTTATGCACCGAATAGGGTGGTTACCGTAGGACTCATGCTGAGGATACCATGTTATAAAATGCTGTAATGAGTTGGAGAAAAACAGGATTTTTTTTCCTTTCCTGTCCATGTGCATATATATTTTTTCTTTTCATTTTCTATTAAAAGTTGTTATAGTCTTGGTGCATGGTTTATCCAAACTTCTATCTTTATATGGACATTTAGATTGATTCCACTCAGGCCTTAATTAATAATCACCACACCCATAGCACATATTTTTAAAGTCCACTTAAAGAATATCTCTTACCAATGGAGGGGAAATATGTGTTAAACTAAGCAGTAGACATACCTGGCCAAGGAAGGTATCATACTTATGTTTTTTTAATCTTTATATCTGACATTAAAATCAGCATCTCCTGGGTATGAAGGGGATGAACGTGCCAATTTGACAAAGGGGATTACCTTCCTCACTCAGACTGCAGTGGGCATGCTGGGAAACTCCTCCCTTCTTTGTCTTTATTACTTCACTGTAATCAGTAGACACACATTGACACCCACAGGTCAGATTATCATTCAACTGGTTTTCCCCACAACTTGACTCTTTTCTCCAAAGAGATTCCTTAGGCAATGACAGTTTTTTGATTGAAATATTTCCTGGGTGATACTAGGTGTAAACTTGTCTTCTATTTACACAGAGCGGCCAGAGGGGTTCCTCTCAGCACTACTTGCCTTCTGAGTGGTTTCCAGGCCATCATGTTTTGACTCACAGCCTCTTGGTGGATGGACTTCAGAAACAGGTCTCCATAATGCACTGACTTCTGCAGTTTCCTTTTCTGGATTCTTCATCTCTTGGTAAATGTTTATATTCCTATGAAAATGACTGACCCCAAAAACCTCAAAAATAGAAATGTGCACACAAATTATGGATACTTTTTCTGCTAGACAGATTTATTAGCTTGTTAAATGCGGTTGTATTTTCTTCCATTGAGGTTACGTGTTTGAGCTTCATGACATGGCCTAGCGGCTCCATAGTTCTTGTCTTGCTCATGGTGCAGTTGCCAGCAGCGAGTGCAGCACATTCACAGCAACAGAATCTCCCTAAGGCCCTGCCATGAAGCCAGAGCCACAAGCTGCATCCTGCCTCTGGTGGGCATATTTGTCTCCTTTTACTGTCTCTCTTCTGTTTTTAGCTCTGTGTTGCTCTAACTGTGAATCCAAACCAGTGGCTGGTGGATGTCTCTGTGCTGATAGCTTCTTGTTTCCCGGCATTCAGCCTCTTCGTGGTCATCAGCTGTGACACCTGGGTGTCTCTCATTTTCTTTGATTCCTGTACCAGAAAACTTTTTCCTCGTCTTGTTAAACAATTATGTCAGTTAATTTCTGCAGTGGGATCAATCTTTAATTGTCATGTTGTTAGAAATTTCATTTATTTTTATAGAGAGGAGAATGGAGGGAGGGAGAGAAACATTGTTGTGACTGAGCAGCCAGGTATATATGGTGACCGGGAATTGAACTGGTAACCTTTTCAGTTTACAGAACAATGCTCAACCCACTGAGCAACACCAGTCAGGGCTAATTTTCACTTAAAAACATAGGCGAGTATTAGGTGCAAAGTAGTTTACTAGGAATCTGGGACATAATGGTGAATAAAAACAATGATTTTTTTTGTACAGCTAACAGTGTAACTGGAAAATGAATTTTTTACACAGTTATATAAACTTAATCTAATTGTTTCATTAGCTAATGGGGAGTCCTGGGAAGCTTTTAATATAATAGGAAAAAACATCATATTCGAAGAAAAGTGTTGTCACTGTGTACTTGTTTT